TAAGCAAATTCATAGAGACAGAAAATAGAAGAGAGGTTACCAGGGGCTGGGGGATGGGTGGGGGTGGAGAATTACTGCTTAATGGTTACAGACTTTTGGTTGGGGTGATGGAAAAATTTGGAAATCAATAGGGGTGATGGTTACATAACACTGTGAATGTAATTAATGTCACTGAATTGTAAACTTTAAAATGCCTAAAATGATTAATTTCGCATTAGGTATTTTTACCAAGCACAAAATTTGTTTTCAACACATCTACAGTTGCAGAGAACATGTGGAGGGGGAACGGGGGATGACGGGAGGTGCACGCATTTGCAAATTACTTGTTCTTCCATTGCAATTTTCAGTTAACAAGACTATCTCTTTAATCATTCCATGTGATCGTCATCATAACCCATGAGGTGGATAAAGCTGGTACTGTTAGCTTTACTTATTTTAATGGATCAAAACCCTGAGGACCCGGGGTTTCGTCTTCTAACTCTTCCTCGAGTAAAAATCAGTAAGCCACAAAAAGATGTGTTCATAATGTTTTCAAATTGGAACAGACAGAGAAGATCATTTAATATGGGATACCTGTGTGTAAGGTATGGTAAAGTAAGATGCTTCAGGGACAGACTATGCGGCTGAAGGAAGAAGCTCAAAGTGGTGACTCAGGGGGACATCAGAGGAAAAGGAAGAGTCTGTCAGTACTTAAACACATTTTGAAAGGTGAAATCAAAAATAAATACACAGGCACACAAACATAACCTATACTTTCTAAACATCTGGCCAGACAGAATAGCTAAATCATGGCTTCCCTCTCTTTAAATATATATGCCTCAACCTACAATTGTTACCCTTTTATGGACTTTTCCACTCTTTTCTTCTGCCTTCAAGGCTGCTCTTTTGAACTGTAGACCAGTGGGATGGTCAAGAAAATATATACTAGCCACTGAATCATTCCTTTATGCAATTGCCAAACTTGAGTGAGGAAATACCTAATATGGTTTGATTGGGGGTAATAAGGAAGAATTATTTCAAAAACAGGCATCTTTTACTCATGAACCGAGTCTATTGTAAATAACCCAATAACCTACCTTTCTCCTTTGAAGTAGTAGTATTGTGTGTTTCACTCTCTTCTTCCTAGATTGAAAGCTTAATCCCTCTCTCGTCCTCACCACTCTATCCCCGGCCTACTGTAAAGTGTCTGACTCTTAATCGGGACTCCAGTAACGCTGGCTGAATACACTGTTGAATTACGTTTCCCCTTCTTAGAATAAAAATGCACTCTTTTTAAAATTATGTAGGTTGAACTTCAAAATATGTATGCACTTGCTCTCTGACAACCACCAACAAAATGGGTAAGCTTATCTCCACACTGAAATGCAATCTAACTATGCAATTTAAGTGAATAATCTGGAATATTTAAGGGTAATAGCTGTAGGATTAATACTGGAGTCCCCATTATATGTCCATGCTGGCTGAGAAGGACTACTACACTGAGATTTTCCATAATCACACAGCATACCAGAAACCTAAATCAAATCTCCCCCAAATTTAAGGAACAGAACTGAGCGCCTGTTTGAAAACGTACTAGGCATCGACCACCAAATTACTGTATTCACTCTTCCTAGTTCAAAACATTTTAGAGCTGCCAAGAATACCGTAAAAATAATAAAACTTTACATTTTACAGCACTTCCTAAAACATTTTTATATTTAATTTATCAAACACGTTAGAGCAGTGGTTCTCCACCAAGATGGATTTTACCCCCCCCATAGGACATCAGGCAATGTCTGGAGACATTCTGGTCGTCACAACTGGGGGAGGGGGATGGTGGCATGCTACTGGCACCTAGTGGGTAGAGGCCAGGGATGCTGCTGGACCTCCCACCATACACAGGACAGCCTCCCAGCACAAAGAACTATCCAGTCCTAAGGGACAATAGGCCCAAAGTCAAGAACTCCTGTATTAGAACAACAATTACACACACGCCATACACTATGCTGAATGCTGAGGACGCGAAGATAAACAAGAGATGGCTTCAGCTACTGTGGCAGTCCATCAGCGACGGGAACTCGGGAAACACTGGCAACGGGCTGTGAGAAGTGCTGCGACTGGGTGTGTACAAATGGCTACCGAGAGCAGAAGCAACTACTTCACCCAGGAGGTCAGGGTACTTCACCAGCAGTGACTTTCCAGCCGGAATTTGAAAGATGATTCCATCAAGTAGAAAAGAGCAGCACATGCTAGCCAGCAGAAATCACATATGCACAAGCAGCAGGTGTCAAACTGAAGGACACCAGGGTCACCAGCATTGTGTGCGGGGGCTTCCAAAGCCGGAGATTAACACGGTACCTGGAGGGCCAGTCTCACGCGGTCAGAAGCAAGCTAACAATTTAACAGGTAAAGCGATTTTTATGGCACTTTAAAAAATATCAAAAACAGGTATATGGAGTAGAACATAAACTTTGCAAGAATTTTTTTAAAAACACAAGAAGTTGCTTTGTTAGACATGTAATGCTAAAGAGACAAGCGTACTAGTTAGGTTTCTCCCACCCCCCAGAATATTTTGGTGAAGTCTAAGCCACGGCAAATGTTCCAAAATAAGTAATTCTGTGTGTTTGGAGCACAGAGTGGGCGCAGGTAGAGGGAGGAAGGGGCTCTGGTGGGAAATCAGGCTGGACAGGGTCATCCTGATACTTCTCATAGGCTCTGCTGTGCTGTCAGTACTTGCTACAGGCTGGGCTGGGGGTCACGGAGGCTTGTAGACAAGGAAATGGTGCAATATCAATGTTGGAGAAGCAGTGGCAAGAGAAAGGTTGTGATGCAGGATAACAAAATATTTCAGATGAGAGGTGATGAAAGTCTGACCAAGGTAACGGCACAAAGGAGGAAGATTTCGGATATGGAGGTGGTTGAATCCATAGGATCAAACACAAGAGAGACAGAGAAGGAACTTTTTAGGTTGGGCAACTAGGTGGGAAAGCAATGAGACTAGAAAATGTGGGGAGAAAGGGGTTTTTTACAGTAGGGGTAAAGATGATCTCATGTGAACCTCAGGACAACTCTGCAAACTAAGTGAAGCACGTAGATACAATCATGCCCAGTTTACAGATGAGTTTAATGAGGCTCTGGGAGTAGATGGGCCTGCCCAGGACCACACATCCAGCAGAAAAGAACCAAGAGTAGAGCTCTTGGGCCCTTAGCTCCTGACTGGGGTTCTCTCCTCTCATGCTGTCTCTAGTCACATTTCATGGTTATAACCAAACCTGAAAATCATGATAGATCAATCTTGAGCAAATTTCCACAGACCTTAAAAGCCCTAGATAAAATTCTGAATTGGTGATACTAAGTGAGGAGTTCGTCCACTTCCAGGCAAAGCCTGTTTTGACTTCCACGTGAATCCAAGAGACAGTTAACTGTGACTAATTGTGAAATTCGGGACAAATGATTGAAATCTTTTCTGAAATTGTTCTTTATTCAGTCTATGTACATAATCAGAATTATTCAGAATATTTATTTTTAAAACTTTATAAGCAATTGCATTGAAATAAATTAAAATTCTAGCAACAAGCTTCAGCATCTAGGTACACACCTACAGGTAGGCATTGAAATGGGCTGCATGAAAGGTGTAAGCACAGGAGCAGGCACGTGACTGAGGTCAGGAGCTACTTTCGTCCCTTTCTGTCTAGCTGCCGACTACTCAAGTGCACGCCTTCTTGACTTTTTGGAAGCAAAAGTATTAAAAGCATGCTTTGTCTCAGAGGATCTATATTCCAAAACACTCTCTAAGACACACATAAAAACTATTCAGTTCACACCAACAATATCATGTCTCAATAATAATAGCTGATACTGTTTACGGAGCATCACTGCATGCCAGGCACCAAGCCAAGAATTTATGTGATTTATCTCCTTTACTCCTCCTCATATGACTTAGAACTATTACTATTCTGGTTTTCTCACAAAGAAACAGGCTCACAAAGGTGAGGTCACAGAGGCCTGTAAGCCAGGACATGAATCCAGATCTAAGTGATTCCAGAATGCATACTCTTAACTACTAGGCTTCCTGCTTCCCCCCGAGGCTCTATTATTCTAGAACACAGTTCAGGGCACATCAAGTCTCTATGGTTCTTGTCCCCTTCCCTTGAACTTGACAGACATGTAATTAGTCTATTGTCTTAAATCAAGTGTTGCAACTCACACCAGGAAATGGATTTCCATTCATGGCTTTAAATAACGTCAACCTGAGTTCATTTCATAGCAGTCCTAAGCCACAGGCCATAGTCACCAAAATATTATCTCAGCACTAGAAAAAGTGGGGCCCTCGCCCAGGAACACAAATGGAAAAGCAGCCCTTTCTTCCACGGTCCTTCTTTTGATCCTCTCAATCTCTTATTTTTGTGGCTTGTTGTAGTTTATGATCAGTTGACTAAAAATGGAGTATCACTTTTCTCATGATCCATTTTCACATGGTGAATTCACTGTAAAATCTCTACAAATGTGTATGAAGTAAAGATCATCTCTCTATGCTAGACAGAGAAGAGGCTCAATAAAGAAATGTAAATAACTTAAGACGGGCTTTCCATGGCTGCCTCATTCCATTGACCCAGTAGGGCCATGATTTGGAGCCAGAGCATTGGCGGAGGAGGTCTCGATTGGGGTCTCACCTGCCACTTAGCCAGGTGAGTAAGCCGAGGCAGGTAAAGTGCTTCTCTGAACCTTGATTTCTTGATCTATAAAATGGAGACACTGATACCTACCTCCCATGATACACATGAGACGTTAAAGATTGCGAATATAAAATGGTTTAATACACTCCCATTATATCAAAACTCTCAATAAGTGATAACTTCTACAATAAAAAGCACCAGACTCTCCACATTTTTTCCACCTAAAATGTAGTGTGACTATAAATAAAAGTAGAGAGGACAGCTGTCCAAGCAGGAGTGTCCCTCCCATAGACAGGCCACCAGTGGCCTTCTGCATCTCCCAGAACCCCTCCTGGAGATACCGACCTGGGAGAGAGGGCATTCTTTGGCTAATGTGCTCTGGTTCATCTCTTTGAGCAGTTCCTTTAAGGCATTGCGGACGGTGGCGTGGTTCCACTGCTCCGCAGGCAAATCTTCCAACTTCGAACAACTGGAAAACAGAGCAAGAATGAACATGGACATGCAAACCTCACTACAGAGCCCCGACTGCAGTGGGTGTGAGCGCCACCTGCCCTCCCGGCTCCTGTGCCAGCATCAGTAGAACCACTCAAGGGCAGGCCTAAGGAGGCCCTGAATGAGGGAGGGGAGCAGAACTGCTGCTCCTGGCGCGTGATAGAGCCCAGTGTGGCCTCCTTAAGTTGGTTATCACACTAGCCTGAGAAAAAGAATCACTTTGGATATGAAGAAATGCTGATTTTTTAAAATATGATTTCTCCAACCTGCTGATGGAAATGGCAGGCAGTGTGATTACAAACTTCCACAACGCAAATTACTGGACATTCCTAAGGTTAAACATAAACAAATGTTCCATCAGATTTGAAGCTTGAAGGCCCACCCTTCACCCTCATAGAACAATTCAGGTTACTTTCCTAACCAAAAGATAACTTTTAAGAGAAGACACTAAAGCATTCCTAGACAAGGATGGGAATGCTGGATTCCTATTAAAGTATAAATTCTCCAAAAGGGGCGAATTCCAAACTTTACCCTAAAGGACATATTCTTTATATCACATGACTTGCAGGGTCTTTACAATACAAGACTCTGCAGAGAACCTCTAGATTCTTTAGTGCATAATTTGCTCTGGATGCTGCACCTGAAGAAAAAGAAATCATTCCCAGAACCTCTGCAGGCCACCAGAGAGAGAAGAAAAAGATGTCCAGTGTAAGAGCACAAAACTCACCCCTCACACACAAACCTGAAACAGCAGAGGTGTTTATTCTTCAAATACTATGCGCTAAGCGTTTAACCAGAGGACTCATTAAATTAGGGGCTGTGGCAAGTTCCCCTTTAAGGGCTGCAGATTTTTAATGATTTATCAAGCTTCCCCTAGGTTACCACCTCACTGCTTCTGAAAACAAAACATAAAACAGTTGGAATGTGGACTATAAAGATGCCGGTGAAGTGCCCCTCCTTCCCTCCTCTCTCTCCTTTTTTTCATTTCATCCAGTGTCTAGAAATTAACAGACAGGACGTGCCGATCTCTGCAGTGACTCCACAATTGACAGAGCAGCTCCGAGAGCAAGGAGGGGCAGATCTTCAGAGACACTCACCTTTGTAATTGGATTTTCAACGTCACAACATGATAGACATCTTGCAGCATGTCGGCCACTGTCGCGTCGGGTGCATCTGTCACATAACTGAGGGGCAGAGGGTTCCACCTCCCTAGCTTGATTATTCCTGCACAGGGAAGAAAAACACAATAAACACATATCTGCTATTTATTAAACCTTCCCACTGTTTGTTCAATGTTAGAAGGTCATTCAATAGTAAACATTCAAGGCCCACTCAGAGATATTTTACAACCCAGTGCAACAACCTACTTCTTTCTGGCTGACAATTGAGTGAGTTAACTATACAGGAAGATGAGAGGGAAAGGATGAGGTTTCATCACGGACAATCAGTTCTTTTATGTTTTCCTGTTTCTTAAATTACTTAGAAAACCATACGGATACTTCCTTCCCCCAAAGTCTTGTTTCACATTCTAACTTAAGACTGATGCTAAATATACCGGACTGCTGATTTCACAGACAAAAAAAAGCAAGCCTTGAGTAAATATAAGATGCAGTTTTGAATTGTACAAGAAGATTCCTGTGTGTGGGCTCAGCACATACACAGTCACATCCTGGTTGTGGTGTGATTCCCCGTGCGAACAGCACTGGGAACTGAAGGAGCAGTTAGAGTTCACATCCAGATCCGCATCTTGCCAGCCAGCGGCTTGTTTGGGCAACAATTGACCACAGATCAGGAATAGCAGAGGTGTCTTCAACTTCCTTTTTTTTTATTCCTCAGCTCTTTTTAGCAGGACAATGGTACCCTTTCCCTGTGGGTTTCCTGCTGCATACGCTAAACACGCATGACAATGGAGAGAGAATAAAAATCCTGGTCAAACCTGGGCTATATAGAGCAGAAGATTTTAGGAACACCTTTGTTACAGGAAGATTCACGGGACAGCTTCAGCAACCTGTGGTGAAAATGCTAACTTATTCATCAGACGGACCCGTCTGATCTGGTGCATAGGGCATACGTAACATAGACGGAAAAAAATAAAGAGGAACCCATTTCACAAACAGAATAACAAACATTTTTCGTATGCTATGAAAAAATCCAAAGGTCTCCAGAATGTCAGAAGTTGTCACACATAAAAAACAGCTACGTTTTACTGATAGAAGAGAAACAGCATTTTTATTTTTGACAATACAGGTGAGTCCAGCTATACTGTTCTTTCAAAAAACATTTTTTATCATCAAAGAGGGAGAACACCTGTATACCCAAGCGAACTTTTAAAAGCTTCACAAAAATGATGGTTGATAGCTACGGGGGGAAATTCCAATAATAGGAAATGAACTTTCTGGTCAGGCCACGTCCTGTCCAAGATGAAATCAATGAATGCGCAATGCTTGACATAATGCTTGAAAACAGGGAATAAACAGAACAAAAATATTAAAATGATGCACTGTTTCAGTATTAAGATTTAACAATCTGGTGCTGAATATGCTGCAGTATAAATAGTGCCTGGACTCAGATCCAATAAAGTAACACAGCTCTCATTCATAGTACCGTATGTCTCCAGTTCTGGCTCCTTGAGTCAGATTTCACTTGCCAAGAAAAGCTGTTTTCTTGTGGGGATAGTTTTCCTAACATTCTCTCCCATGACAATGAAAAGTGCACAGCACGCAGCGTGTAGTAGGCAGGAAATGGACATCCAGGGCCCGCCGGACGACCCATGAGAGACGGGCTCTGCTTCCTCACTTCTTTTACTCCTCTGACATTTGAAAATACTTAAAAGACACTATGTAACATATCTAACATATTTCCTTTTCTTAAAATCACTACACACTTTTAAATTCCTTTAAAAAATCATTATGATAGCCCATAAGTGAAGTATCATCTAAAGACATGATATTTTACTATAAGAGATTAGAGGGGGAAAAATGAAGTTAGCAATTGCGCACTCTGATGGGCAAGTAGAAGCTGATTTGGTGGGTCATTGTGGTTACTAAGCATACAAAGGTAACAGGAAGCAAATGAATCCTGCAAACTTCAATGCACAACTCTAGAAGAGATTTATCCATGCTGTCGTGGGTCACTGTTCATTCTTTTTTGTTGCTGAGTAGTGTTCCATCGTAGGAATATACCACAATGCAGCCAGAGACAACAGAATATCTCTGTATGATTTCGTTATATAAAATACAAGAACAGGCAAGACGAATCAATGAGGATAGAAGTCGGAATGTGGCTACCTCCAGACGGCAGGGACATGACTGGAAAGGGACAAAGTGGATTTTTCTTGTTTCAGCTGGAGGTTTCTTGGGTACAAAAATTGTCAAAATTCATGAAACCGAGCACTTAATATGCATACATTTTATTGTATGTAAATCATACCTCAATAAAAAAAAAAAGCATTGCAGGGGAGGAATCTCTACAGGAAATGACAGACAAATCACTCTACTGGAAATAGTAATCTCCACTTAGGTAAATTCTCTCCCCACCTTCATGAGCCAGAAGGAGACTTGTTTGGGCTAGAATTAGACACACACAGGTGTCTTCACAACACTTAATACCTCCACAGAGAGCAGCTGCTCCAGGTTGGTTTCCAGATCCTGGAAGAGAGCTGTTGACACACGCTATTTTCGGGCAATGAGAATTTTGGCCTGTGCTTTTTCTTTTTCTGCAGCGTATTGACTAACCTGCATAGTCCTAGAAGTCACGTTCATTGCTCAACTATTTACCAGGGTCTGCGGATGCAAGATCTGCTAGGACAGCTACGTCCAGAAAGCTGGTCTCCTCCGGCCAGGCAGGGCTTAGAGTCCCTCTTTTTAATGAGCCTTCCTCCCCTCAGGGTCTCTGTCTAATGTATTAACCTTCTCTGGAAATACATTCGTTATATATAGCCCTCCTTCTCTGATATAAAATAGACAAATATATTACTTGGCTTAGTGGTCAAGTGTTAATGGAGGAAATCAAATTGGGAAGCAGTATACCTTAGTGACTAAGAAAGCAGGCTCCCAAGTCAAATTGCCTCTGTTCACATCCTGGCTCCTCCACCTACCAGCTATGTAACTCTAGCAAGTTACTTAACTTCTCCATACGTCAGTCCTCTCATCTGTAAAATGGAACAATAAAAGTACTGACCTCATAGGAATAGTGTGCAGATTAAATGTACAGCCCTTAGTACAGAGCATGGATGTAATTAATCTCAATAATTGTATACAGTCATTATTTAGATGTTTTCAATGCTTCTCAAAAGGAAGATATAGTTGATTCACTTCTAAAAATATTGACTCAGGGATTTTTTTATGACTTTATTATCTTTCAATCTTTAATTCAGTCATGTACGTGTAAAAGGCCCTCGTTATTTTATTTTATTTTTGTGTGTGTGAGGAAGATCAGCCCTGAGCTAACATCTGTCAATCCTCCTCTTTTTTGCTGAGGAAGACTGGCCCTGGGCTAACATCCATGCCCATCCTCCTCTACTTTATATGGGACGCCGCCACAGCATGGCTTAGACAAGTGGTGCATTGGTGCACGCCCAGGATCTGAACCTGCGAACCCCAGGCCGCCGCAGAGGAGCGCACACACTTAACCGCTACGCCACGGGGCCAGCCCCAGCCCTTGTTATTTTAAATCACAAGGGAGGACTGTACATCAGTTATGTCCCCCCTCCTAGTCCCGCCTCCCCCACCCCATTCATTTCTTCCTCTCTTGCTCCTCAGCGCCTCCTTTCCTTTTACCTATAAGTGGGTTCAGATCTCCTCTACCTTAAAACTAACAAAAACAGTACAACAACCTCTTTCCCATCAGTCCCTCGTTTTTGCACCACCAAATGTACTGGACATGCACCTCCCACTTCTCCATCAGACCTTCACCCCTAGACATCTAGTTTCAACTCTTTCCAGGAGGAAATGGAGGTTCAGAAGGGCTGGGTTACCTTGAGTAACATCACTAGGACCCAACAGAGCCCAGATTCACTTCAAATACCATGTTCTGTCTCTTCTTAGTACCCCATAAGTCACACTGGCTCAAGTGAGAGGCATGTCAGAAGAAAAGACAGGAAAAGAGCTTGGCCCCAAGTCTGGAAGGCCTTGAATGTCCAACTCAGCAGCACTCGACATTGGTCAGAGGCCAGGAGGAGGCCTGGAGGCAGAGGTGAGGTTACGCCCAGCCTCCTCTGTCCTCAGAGACTTTCAGGGAGTTGCTTTGTCTCCCCAAGTCTCCATTTCCATTACCTGTAAAATGGGGACAATGACAATGCCTGTCCTTTATGGTTGTTGTGAGGCCTTAAATCAGAATGAGAGTTTAGCACTGGGAGTGGCACACAGTAACTGCTCAGTAACTGTCAGAGGAAAAGAGATCCTGAAAGGTTTCGAGTGTAGACGTAACACTGTCAAAGTGAAGCTTGAGGAAGATTAACCTAAAATGGAATGCAGGTGTATTAAAAGAGGGAAGCATTCTGGGGCCAGGCCTGTGGTATAGGGGTTAAGTTTGGCGCATTGCGCTCCACTTCGGCAGCCTGGGTTCGTGGGTTCAGATCCCCGGTGCGGACCTACACTACTCAGTCAGCCATGCTGTGGTGGCAACCCACACACAAAATAGAGGAAGATTGGCACAGATATTAGCTCAGGGTGAATCTTCCTCAAACAAAAAGAGGATGATTGGCAACAGATGTTAGCTAGGGCCAATCTTCCTCAGCAAAAAAAAAAAAAATTTTTGAATAAAAAAAGAGGGAAGCATTCTGAGGGGAGAAAAGAGAGCTGAAATAATACAGACAGGTGTGTCTAATCACAACCCTACCAGCCTCTTCTTGGTTCCCTCTAAGGAGGGATCCAGACTCCATGAAATGCTACAGCACAGTGAACGAGGACAGAGGAGAAAGAACAGGCTGTGCCCAGTAGGGATATCCGACTCGCAGTGTCAGGGAAATCTCAATAAAAGCAGCATAACTATAAACGTACGGATATTATTTCCAATGCTCACACTCCATATGTAGGTTTTGTAAACTCAATCTGAAAAATGAGAAAAACTAACAATGATTCAAATAGATAAGACCACATGCATGCACACACACATAAACTTTGGGCCCAGGCACACGGCAGATGCTCAAAAAATGCCAATTCCCATTTCTTTTATGAATATCTATCACCCTCTCACTTTGTCTGGATTATTGATCCCCAATATTC